ATTACGGGCCTCCATAGCTGCTGCCAGGCCCCTAATCTGCCATGGGCCCCTATACCGCCTCCCTCATGCTGCTGCCAGGTCCAGAGTCTCTCATGGGTCCCTGTACGGCCTCCCATTGCTGCTGTCTCCATCGCCACACTCTGCCATGTGCCACTTTCAGGTCTCCTCACACTGCTGGTGTGTGTCCATTTTTTGTCATAGGGTGCTGGCAGATTACGGGCCTCCCATAGCTGCTGCCAGGCCCCTAATCTGCCATGGGCCCCTGTACCGCCTCCTCATGCTGCTGCCAGTCCAGAGTCTCTCATGGGTCCCTGTGCCTCCCATTGCTGCTGTCTCCATCGCCACACTCTGCCATGTGCCACTTTCAGGTCTCCTCACACTGCTGGTGTGTTCCATTTTTTGTCATAGGGTGCTGGCAGATTACGGGCCTCCCATAGCTGCTGCCAGGCCCCTAATCTGCCATGGGCCCCTATACCGCCTCCTCATGCTGCTGCAGGTCCAGAGTCTCTCATGGGTCCCTGTACGGCCTCCCATTGCTGCTGTCTCCATCGCCACACTCTGCCATGTGCCACTTTCAGATCTCCTCACACTGCTGGTGTGTTACATTTTTTGTCATAGGGTGCTGGCAGATTACGGGCCTCCCATTGCTGCTGCCAGGCCCGTAATCTGCCATGGGCCCCCGTACCGACTCCTCATGCTGTGACGTTGCAACAAGGTGGAATTCAACCCTACATATGTTAGACCGCCTTTACGACAGCGAAAGGCCATCACAGATTTCCTGATGTTAAAAGCGGATAAAGGTACTCCCTGTGTAACTTAGATGTCAGCCATTGGCAGCTCATGCGTGACACCTGCGCTTGCTCAGGCCCTTTGAGGAGGCCACGCTATTCGTGAGTCGGCAGGACTATGGGATGAACGACGTCATTCCTCTGTTGCACGTCCTGGAACAAATGCTGTTAACAATGGCTGGTCAGGGTGCGGTAGTCCCCGTGGCGCACAGATCTCAACGCCACATGACCCCTGTGGGGGCAGGACAGGAAGAAGAGGAGGAGGTAGAGGAGGACATTGGTGCTCAGGAATTATTGAGTGAAATGGGTGGTTTTTCCACTCAGCGGACAGGAGTGGAGGAGCAGGAGCATCTGGTAGAGGAGGAGGAGGAGGAGACAGAGGACCCAGACGCACCGTGGCAGTATGCTGTGGAGATGGAGGCAGGGTCCCTCGCATTCCTTGGCACAAATGGCCCATAGCATGCATGCTCGCTTGCTTGCGTAGCGACAGCCGAATAATAACCATCAGACAGAGGGATGACTTTTGGCTGTCCACCTTGTTGGACCCTCGCTACCGTTCAAAAATGGTGGCCTTTTTCACACCTGCTGAGAGGGAGGCCAAAATAACGTACTATAAAAACCACCTATGTAGTCAGCTGGTCTCTGCCTTTCTGCGCCAACGTCCATCCTCAGACACTGTGGGGCCCTGTGCGCTCGCGTTCCGCTGCCATGGCAGCAGGGGGGGGGGGTGGGGTGGTAGGAGCAGTGGCAGCTCCACCAGCAGCGGCTGCCTCAGTCTGCAGTCGATGATGAGTAGCTTTCTTCACCAGCGCAGTGAGGAAACTACTAACCAGCTGCTGCAGCAGCAGCAGCAGCATCAGGTGGACCTGGAGCAGGACCTCAAACAACAGGCTTAGGCCTACTTGGACAGCACCCTGCCAACCGAGGTAGACAATCCCCTTGACTACTGGGCAACGAAACTTGACCTTTGGCCCCAACTAGCTGAATTTGCCCTTGAAAGGCTGTCATGCCCGGCCAGTAGGTGGCATCGGAGCGCGTGTTTAGTGCGGCAGGAGGTATTGTAACTCCGCGGAGGACACGACTGTCCACCCAAAGTGTGGAGAGACTCACGTTTGTGAAAATGAATCAGGCGTGGATTAGTCTGGATTTCAAACCACCAGTTCCTGACACAACTGACTACGGCCTTCCGCCATGAATCATGCCCCAAACATGTGCCACTTTCAGGTCTCCTCACACTGCTGGTGTGTTCCATTTTTTGTCATAGGGTGCTGGCAGATTACGGGCCTCCCATAGCTGCTGCCAGGCCCCTAATCTGCCATGGGCCCCTGTACCGCCTCCTCATGCTGCTGCCAGGTCCAGAGTCTCTCATGGGTCCCTGTACGGCCTCCCATTGCTGCTGTCTCCATCGCCACACTCTGCCATGTGCCACTTTCAGGTCTCCTCACACTGCTGGTGTGTTCCATTTTTTGACATAGGGTGCTGGCAGATTACGGGCCTCCCATAGCTGCTGCCAGGCCCCTAATCTGCCATGGGCCCCTGTACCGCCTCCTCATGCTGCAGGTGTCCATGGGTCCCTGTACGGCCTCCCATTGCTGCTGTCTCATGCCATGTGCCACTTTCAGGTCTCCTCACACTGCTGGTGTGTTCCATTTTTTGTCATAGGGTGCTGGCAGATTACGGGCCTCCCATAGCTGCTGCCAGGCCCCTAATCTGCCATGGGCCCCATACCGCCTCCTCATGCTGCTGCCAGGTCCCAGAGTCTCTCATGGGTCCCTGTACGGCCTCCCATTGCTGCTGTCTCCATCGCCACACTCTGCCATGTGCCACTTTCAGGTCTCCTCACACTGCTGGTGTGTTCCATTTTTTGTCATAGGGTGCTGGCAGATTACGGGCCTCCCATAGCTGCTGCCAGGCCCCTAATCTGCCATGGGCCCCTGTACCGCCTCCTCATGCTGCTGCCAGGTCCAGAGTCTCTCATGGGTCCCTGTACGGCCTCCCATTGCTGCTGTCTCCATCGCCACACTCTGCCATGTGCCACTTTCAGGTCTCCTCACACTGCTGGTGTGTTCCATTTTTTTGTCATAGGGTGCTGGCAGATTACGGGCCTCCCATAGCTGCTGCCAGGCCTGTAATCTGCCATGGGGCCCCTGTACCGACTCCTCATGCTGCTGCCAGGCCCGTAATCTGTCATGGGCCCCTGTTGTCGCTTGTTGGCATATTCCGCTCGTTCAGATGCTCCTTCTCCTGCTACTCCTCTTCACGGATTCCGTCAGCAGTCTTTCTTGGAATCCGTTTCCAAGAGACAACATGTTTGCGAGCACGCACCCGTAATCTGCAGAAGCTGAACGTCCTCCTGTCCAGTTGCTGCTGCCAGGCTCGTAAGTCTGTCATGCGCCCCTGTACCGCCTCCTCATGCTGCTGCCAGGTCCAGAGTGTGTCATGGGCCCCCGTACCGACTCCTCATGCTGCTGCCAGGCCCGTAATCTGTCATGGGCCCCTGTACCGCCTCCTCATGCTGCTGCCAGGTCCAGAGTGTGTCATGGGTCCCTGTACGGCCTCCCATTGCTGCTGTCTCCATCGCCACACTCTGCCATGTGCCACTTTCAGGTCTCCTCACACTGCTGGTGGTTTCCATTTTTGTCATAGGGTGCTGTATGGCCTCCCATTTGCTGCTGCCTCCACCGCACACTGTGGCTCCACACTCTGGTTTTGGCCCCGTGACTGCCCAAATGAGTGAAGTGTGCGGTGATTCTAAGATCGACGGCACTCATCTGCATGTCATACTGACTGTCAGTATTATTTCTCTTCCCCAGCAGACTCCAAGGGCATTTAAATTAAAGGTACAGTGTTCTGCACTAATATAAAGGCTCTCTGAAGCCTAGAAACACCCTTTTATATAAGTTAAATTTCGCAGCGAATATATTCGACTCGAATCAAAATTTTTCCACGAATTCACCGAATCAGTCGAATCGAATTATTGAATACTTCGCTCATCTCTAGTTGTGTTAATTAACCGCATTAGATAGTTGTTGCTGACAGTCTGGTCAAGTGCTGCCTTTATTGTCTCAGAACCTCATTATATCTTTTTAATTTTTTAGGGGAGAGAGGATTCCAATATAATTGCACTCTTACCCCTCTGCATCAAAGGCTGCACCTGACATGACACATGCAGATAGGTAGTGCCACTCCATGTAGTGCCACTCTACCCAGTGGTCCAACCTGGACAAATAAAAGGTAATGAATGTAATGGGTAAAACATGTATCCATGAAAACATGTACCCTCTTCTCAGTTTATTAAAATGCAGCTTCTCAGTTACAAATTAATCCTGCTGCATTGATTCATTCTCTAACATGACACAGCAGGGTAGCCTATTATTATTATTATTATTATTATCATACCAGATTTATATAGTGCCAACAGTTTGTGCAGTGCTTTACAAAATGAAGGTAGACAATACAGTTACAATACAATTGCCTAGTACCTGAAACACATGTTCAGCCCCATCCAGACAATGGTCCAGCCTGGCCACATAATAGTTCATGAATGTGGTTGTTTGAAAGCATTTTATTTAAAGTCTTGCCATCCCTGCCTGTAGACTTGGATTAACCCCCACACAGGGACGGTCTTGTAATGAAAAATAACAAAAATCTGAATGATAAATGCTAATCTTCAAATATTGTTCCAAATAATTGCCATTACAAAAAAAAGATACTGTTGGCGAGAGAGTCAATAAGCGAAGCTAGTCATTATTCTGCCCCTTTTATTGTTCTTTCAGAGACCATGGGTGTCTCACTTCATTAATCACAGTTTTTTAAAGTTTGGACATTACAAAAAGGCAACATGCAAAGCATAGCTTTGTCTGTATCAGAAACAAATGGAAAAACTTAAAGCCAACTTGTATGAAGTCAGCCAGACAATGCTCTTTGGTTTTCCCTGTGCAGCTTCAGTGTGGTGAAATACGGTCACCAGCTTTAATAAATGCTAGACCAGGTCTTAAAATTTCAAGTCCTGAGCTACTAGCCAGGCCTTAAGAGTTACTCGCCACCAACAAACACACACAAACAGAGACACCTGTACAAACACACAGACATGTACATACATACACACACAGAAACATGTACACACACGCACAGAGACACATGTACACACACATACATACAGACACATGTATACACACAGGCACGTACAGACACGCATACACACAGATACACGTACATACACAGAAATACACATGCACAGACCCATGTACATACACATGTACATACATACACACACATGTACACACAGACACATGTACGTACATACACACAAAACACACACACGTACAGTACATGCACACACACACGTACACACACATACATGTACATACACGCAGACACATGTACAGATACACGCAGGCACACAAGCACGTTGTTAAGTGCTGTCTCCTCTCCCCTGAAGCTACCACTGGCTGACATAGAGGATCATGTGACCAGAGTGAGCTGAAATTAGGTAGAGACACACACACACACACCCTATAAAAAGTTGTAGTACTTTGTTGTTCACTCACAGAGCCGGGTACTGCACTCTAGGGGGAGGCAGAGAGCACAGCACACACGTCTTCCTTTGCTTTCACTGCGTTCAGCTATTGAGCAGTCTGGCAGCTCCCAGTGCCAATGACAGATACGGCCTGAGCTCCGAGTCTGCTCAGCAAGACAGCCCTGGGGGGACACACTCACTCCCACCATAATTTCCACTCGCAATTGGCGAGCAGGCGAGTGGGAATTTCAAGGCCTGTGCTACACCATATGTGGCAAATGGAGGGATAAAATAAGGGGGTGCTTTTGCATTTTGAAAAAATGTGAGCATAGTGTTGCACACAGAAAGTGTAGCTTTGTATATCCAAGCAACAAATTTAAAACCAAAGCCACCTTCTTGAGAGGAAGGAAATCCTTTTATCATTAGGTGTTCACCCTTCATCCATGCCTTCTAGCTGGTTGATACAACCACCATCCGGAGATGTGGCATTGAGGTCCTTTGCTGTGCTACTTCGGAATAGGTCGATTTGTGCTCCCTCTAGAATGGTGGCATTGATCCTCATACCATTCTCCCCTTGGAAGCACCCAAAAATTTCACCCTCTTCACCAGCAACACCTCAAACACCCTCCTCTGCACCACCAGCAGCATAACCCAACTACTCTTCACCTGCAATAATAAACAAAAGTGCAGCATTATAAGAGCAAATATAACATTTGTGAGTAATAAACAATTCAACAAAATGGTGTGGACTGAAATGACTGAAACGTCCACCAGAAATTGTCATACAAAAAAGTAAAAAATCATGTGCTGTAGCCAAGCCAACTTCAAAAAGCCTTTTATTTCATGTTCTAATACATCAGATAAGGTAATGCTACTTCTGTATTTAAGTGCATAATTTATTTACATTAAAAAGTCAAATACATACTGTATACAAAATATGTGAAGCCAGAATATGGGGAAATCACCTTACCCCCAGAGGAGCTGCTTGGGGTGACAGGTTCTCTATTCTTTGCTTTGACTCTGTGAGCTGCTTTATCCCCTCTGACACACCTGGTTAGGTAATGAGATGCTGCAAACACCTATGTGAGCTCAAGTATTAATATCTTACTCACAACTATATTAATGTATCAGGAAATAGACACCAGGCTATTTAGTTGTAAGTAAAGTAAATATATTGTCATAAAAGACAAAGTAAATGACAAGGCACAAATATAAATGAACAGGTAAAAGAATTTATATGCACACAGTAAGCTAACTGTTGTAATTACTAGGTTATAGCAAAGCAGTTATCTAAATCACCATAGTACTGCTTCATCCTGAGCAGCTCCTCTCGGGAAATATTGACCTAGCAATAGCAGCATCAATTATGAACTGTATAAACAATGAACAAGCATAAACAACAAACGAGACTGACAGTAAAAAGAAATTCCCACAGTATCTTCTCTGTACTAAATGGTTAATGGATGTCTCAGAGTGCTCTCTGTGTATATCACCTAATGTTTGTGTAGGATGTACAGTATATATATCCTGAGAGGGAAACCCATGGGAAGCAGTTGCTCAAGGTTATACTCCTGAACCTGCAACCTTCAGCCAACTAAATGGTGGGGCCATCATTAAGGTGGTGCACATCTGTACTGTCCTTTTGAATTCTGCATACATGTAGAAATTCTGGAACTACTGGGAAGATGGACAATATATCCCTTTCCTGATCTGCTTAGCAGCAGTAAATTCAGCACAACAGCCACTTTCCAGTCATGGTACTAAGTGAACTTTGGCCTAGACATTCATCTGACTCTGGATCTTCTGCCTCTGACTCTGTCCTTAGGTATCCAGTCCTCAGTGGCTCAGCCCCCAATAATCCAGTCCCCACTGGCTCAGTCCCCAGCAACCTGGTCCTCAATAAATGTCTCAGGCTGTTCCACTGCACAGCAAGCCAGTGTTCTTTCTATCCAAAACCTGGGAAACTCTCTCTTTCTCCTCCCCCTCTTATAGGGGTTTGTGTCCATTGTAGTTTATAGTGGCATTCACCTCTGCAGGACTGTGCTCCCTCACAGACTAAATTTCCCCTGATTTTGTGCGTCTACATGATTATATCCTCTTAATTCTTATTGGGTATTACCGCTGCAGCAGGCAACTCCAAAAAGGAAGGGGGAGGAACAGGCAAGGGGATTAGAAAGCCTGTCCAAAGCAGTGGCACTGCCCAGTGACAGAAGGTCCCAGATCTTGGCTTCCTGACTTTCTCTGCCAGCTGAGCACCAGCATAATAGCACTACTGATATTTGTCTTGAAATTCATACAGGCGTATGTTGGACCTCCAGCTGTCACAATCCTTGTGTGTGTATGTAGCAAGATGAACTATCCAAGACCCCTCTTAATCATCACAGTCTGAATGAACAATATGTCCTGTAGAATCTCCCTAGAATATTCCAGATTTGATTGAATTTAGAATGTAGTAAGTGAAACAATAATTCATGTTCAAGTAGTGAAATAATATGTTCATCCATTCTTTATAAAGCTTCAGTATGCTCCATATTGATTTTCAGTATGGTTATGAAACACAATAAGAATCTATATATGGAATCATTTCACAAAAAAAATCTGCTTTCTCTTTAATTATAATCTCTACATATATTTCACAGAAACATTTAGCAGATTATTTGAATCAAGCACTCAAATATTGTAAAATAACATCAAGTTTTATTAAATACTGTTTTTCATTACAAGACTATTCCTAAATATAGTTTTTACATGTTTATTTAATCTAGTACTTACATGACCATTTATATCATTATTTTGTACATTGTAAAGTTAGGATGGAATTTGCTATGTAGTTTTTATGACATGTCAATATAACTGCAGGAAAGGGGAGAGTTAATTGTGAGCCACATAGTATGAACTGACAATAGTGCCTTTGACATTCTACAGGCCAAATGTCTGCCTGTCATCAGAGATTCCTGCATGGGACACTGCCATCAGTGCACAAATCACAAGTCTTCATCTCTGAACTTTAGAGCCAACCATGGGTCACTAGCTACAAGCAGCACTACAGGGAAATACCAGATGTTTCCATTTACAAGAAATTGTTTCAGAGAGAATGATGCCTAGATTTAGCCTTGGTTCACACATTACCGTTTTTGCAATCACTGTCTGGGTTTTTTTTTCATGCTTCTTTGGGGAAAATTCTGAGAAACATGACATGTGAAGAACTGAATACATTTTATAAACAAACATCAGAGTGGAAAATCAAGATTGAAGGTTATAGCTTATGTTCCTGTTTTAAAATGTCTGTGCTTAAAATGTATGTATAATACTCCAATCTGGCTATATATATGTGTGAGAGGCAATCTCACCAAAGTTAAAGGAATTCCCATCTTAGACTGCTGTCACCACAACATTTGTCTTCATTGGAAGTTTTCCCTTCCCTCTTGCTTTTATGACAACTTTAAAATGTTTGATTTCAACTTAGTTTCTGTTTCAGTGACAGGTCACTAAGGGGGTGAATCTGTCAAGTGGGAACACAAACGACAATGAAAACTTGGCAGAGTATAGTCCCCCCAGGGGAGGACTGACCATTTGGAAACTCTGGCACTGCCCCAGGGCCCGGGGTCAGTAGGGGGCCCCATGAGATGCCCCTGGTACCTTTTTCATAGGCTTTTTTGAGTTTGGGCAAGGACACAGGGGCCCCATGATCCCCTATTGCCTGGGGGCCCCATGAGTTGTCAGTCCGCCCCTGAGTCCCACTAATCAAATTAATAAAAAACAGTTTTAACTTTACATACATTATAAGTTATTATTAACTGTGGTACACAACTACATGGTACACTATATTGCCAAACGTATTGGGACACCCCTCCAAATCATTGGATTGTGGTGTTCCAATCACCTCCATGGCCACAGATGTATAAAATCAAATACCTAGGCATGCAGACTGCTTCTACAAACATTTGTGAAAGAATGGGTCGCTCTCAGGAACTTAATTTAAGCGTGGTACCGTGATAGGTTGCCACTTGTGCAATAAGTCCATCCGTGAAATTTCCTTGCTACTAAATATTCCACTGTCAACTGTTAGTGGAATTATAACAAAGTGGAAGCAACTGGGAAGAACAGCAACTCAGCCACAAAGTGGTAGGCCATGTAAAATGTTAGAGTGGGGTCAGTACATGCTGTAGTGCACAGTGCGCAAAAGTCACCAATTGTCTGAAGAGTCAATAGCTAAAGTCTTTCAAACTTCATGTGGCCTTCAGATTAGCACAAGCATAGCGAGCTTCATGGAATGGGTTTGGCTTTTGCCAGTAGAACGGTACTTGCCTGACTGCATTGTGCCAAGTGTAAAGATTGGTGGAGGGGGGATTATGGTGTGGAATTGTTTTTCAGGGGCTGGGCTTGGCCCCTTAGTTCCAGTGAAGGAAACTCTTAAGGCGTCAGCATGCCAAGACATTTTGGCAATTTCATGCTCCCAACTTTGTGGGAACAGTTTTGTGGATGGCCCCTTTCTGTTCCAACATGACTGCGCACCAGTGCACAAAGCAAGGTCCATAAAAACATGGATGAGCGAGTTTGGGGCGGAGAAACTTGACTGGCCTGCATAGAGTACTGACCTTAACCCAATAGAATACCTTTGGGATGAATTAGAGTGGAGACTGCGAGCCATACCTTCTCATCCGACATTAGTGCCTGACCTCACAAATGCGTTTCTGGAAGAATGGTCAAACATTCCTTTAGACACATTCCTAAAGCTTGTGGGCAGCCTTCCCAGAAGAGTTGAAGCTGTTATAGCTGCAAAGGGTGAGCCAATTCAATATTGAACCCTATGGACTAAATTTGGGATGCAATGAAAATTCATGTGCATGTAAAGGCAGGTGTCCTAATACTTTTTGCGATATAGTGTATGTGTCTTCAAGCATTTGTGAATGCTGAGCTATGTACACATATTCATTTACCTGATTACATAATTAAATCTTAAATGCTGTATCTTTCTGCCAGCACAGAAGGAGGTCTGTTAGGAATTCCAATCAGGAGAGATAGTAGTGTGAACAGAAGTGGCTCAAGACTGTTTGCTTTTGAGCATTGGTGCCAGGCTGTGTCAGGGTGAGAGGAAACTCCATCACCATGAATGCCAATTTAGGCCTCTTACACAAGGTACTGTTTAATTATCTACTTTTTTAATGTAATTTCAGGCATTTGTTTTGTGCGTATTCATGTGTGTTTATGCGTGTATTTGTACGCATTTTGTGTGCACAATATATTCTTATGGAAAATGCAT